CAGTCTAATGTAATAGTGTGTGCTATTTAAAAACGTGGAATGTAAGTAACTTTCATCACACTTTGCTATTTACTTTGAAATTGTAGCTTAAGGGGCACCTAGGTGGCTCAGTTGGTTAAGCCTCCAACCACAGCTCAGGTCATGGTCTCACAGTTCGTGGGTTTGAGCCCCACCTTGGGCTCTGGGCTGACAGCTTAGAGCCTGGAGCCTGCTTCAGATTCTGTGTGTCCTTCTTTCTCTGCCCTTCCCCCGCTCACCCTTTGTCTCTCTCTCAAAAATAAATAAACATTAAAAAATTTAAAAAAAAAAGAAATTGTAGCTTAAAGTTGAGTTGATATTGATACTGAGGACTGTGCTAGACCTCACTCAGGTACTTGATAAATATTTACTGCTTATAGTTTCATTAAGTTTTGGGAGGAATAATTTTGCTAGTGCCATTAGATTTACTACTACTACTCTTTTCCTTGTATTTTCTGGAAATTGGAAGTTGTTCCATTATTACAGATTCTAAATTTGTTCATTTGGTTCAGACGGTGACCACCAGATAACTCCACTATACAAGTGTATTCTCTTTATCATTAGGTAAATAACCTGACGAATGACATTTTGGTGCCAAATGTATGCTCCCAGTTCCCAGCGATGGGTCATCAAATGGTTTTAAAGTCCATGGATTATTCTTGCCTGAATCAATTATTTCTTTAGGATTTGCATAATAGCTATTTGCTAGTGATATTATTTATTCTACTATTTGCTAGCACCCTATTGTAAAGAAGAGGTTTTCCTCATTAATCAGCAGTGAACCACAATGAGAGAGAGAGAGAGAGAGAATATTATTTTCCCTTTAATAACTAATTTTCAGAGTAACTTATAATAATCATTTCCAATGATGAAAAATAGTCCTCCACCCCCTCTCTCATCAAGTATAACCACAGTCGTAGATTTTTATCCATTCAGTATTTACAATAATTGTTGCCATTTTCTTTTCGATGTTAAAATTACCCTAAATGTGGCCTTCAAGCTGGCTCCTGTGTCTTTTTAAAATGTACTTTTGAAGACTGGATCTACAAATGGATATGACCAGACCATATATAAAAATAGAATTGTGACCCACAACCTGCAGCCAGCAGCCCAGGGAATCAACCCTCTTATCTACAGCAATGAGCAATGAAGCCAGCTTCCTGTAAGATAAATTTGGAGGAAGTCAGATTACTATCGCAAGTAATAATTCAAGCAGCTAAACAATAATTTCTATAACAATCAGCTCAAAATGGCCGGGGCTTGATTAAAAACTCACAGCATCCCTAATTTTTCTCCCCACTTCCAACTTAGAATTAACCAGAGAAAGTCAAATATGTACCCCTAGCCAATCACATAGGATGCCCTGCTTCTTGCCACCTTCGGCTTCTCCATGCCGACAGCCCCCAACAGGGCCACCTGAAGCCATTGCTTTTTTCCACTGTGAAGCTTTCCCACTCCTCTGCCTACCTTTGAGTGTCTTCCAAAATGCAAGTGATGGGGGGTGGGGGTGGCTCACCTGGATGGCTCAGTTGGTTGAGCATCCGACTTTGGCTCAGGTTATGATCTCATGGTTCGTGAGCCTGCATCAGGCTCTGGCTGACAGCTCCGAGCCTGGAGCCAACTTTGGATTCTGCGTGTGTGTGTCTCTTTCTCTGCCCCTCCCCTGCTCACACTCTGTCTCTCTCAAAAATAAACAAACATTAAGAAAAATTACTAGAAAAAAATGCAAGTAACTGTGCCTGACTCAAGCTCTGAATCAATAGCCTCTGCTTTTCTCATTTGGCTGGTCTTCATTTATTTCCACGCTTTAAGGAGGTAGAATAGACATACATTTGAGGGTTGATTTATACGAAGTGTATGTAACAGATATGTATACTTTATATGAGGTACAATTGACATTAACTGTACCCATATTAGTGCTGTGGTTGATGAATGTTGACACGCACACAGACACACGCACACATATACACACACGCACACCTGGGTAAGCACCACTTTGTGATGTAGAATATTTTCATAACCCCCAAAAGTCCTTTCCAGTCAGCTTATGCTCCTTCCCTCTCCTAGCCTAGCATGGATTTGACCTCTATCACTATAGGTTAGATTTGCCTATTCTCCTACGTTCTGGTCACAGATCTTCATTAGCCTAAGCTCTTCCTTTGCATTCAGGCACAAAATGTCTAACTCATCCTGTGCTTTCTTTGCCCCAGAACTGGAATCAGCCAGTTCTCCAAAGAGCTTTGTATCTCTTCAGAGAGAAATGGGACTTTAGAAACCACGATGCAGGTGGCAACAGAGCTCATTGTCACTGAAGGTGATCAACCCTCCCTTTGCCTCTGACAGTGCCAATTTTGACACTGAAAACGCAGCAGCCTGGGAACCCCCTGGGACAGTCTGTCATCCTACTGCTCCAGGCCATTTTGGTGCACAGAACTAGGAAATTTATTTTTAAAATAATGTGCTCAAAGTGATACTTCCAATTTAAATGCATTATAGGGTTTTTTTCTGAACTTCTTTGATCTTATATTTGTATCTCATTTTCTCTTACACTTAAAGCTTTATACAGTATTACTTATGTTAGCCTACACTACCTATAGTTTCAAAACCACAGCCAGTGGTATTACCATTAATTATAAACCACTGAGAGAACCTGAAGATTTCTTTGCAGTTCTTCTTCATTCTTAGACTATCTCCCACCAGATATTGTCTGAATACTATATTCAAAAGCACTGTGGGAATAATCTATTTCCCTGGGTAACAATAGTTACCTTACCAATTTGATTTAGAGTGAAGTTTGTTTCAATTTGTTTTTAACTTTGGGTTTACTTTCTTTTCTTTTTTACTTTTTGGCTATATAAAACTTTTTTTTAAGTGTGTGATTTTTATGTTTTTTAATGTTTATGTTTATTTATTTATTTTGAGAGAGAGAGAGAGAGAAACCACACACACAAGTAGGGCAGGGACAGAGAGAGAAGGAAAGAGAATTCCAAGCAGGCTACACGCTGTCAGTGCAAAGCCCGAAGCAGGGCTCCATCTCAGGAACCCAGAGATCATGACCTGAGCTGAAATCAAGAGTTGGGTTATGCTTAACCCACTGAGCCACCCAGGTGTCTCAGCTATATGAAACTTTAAAAATTCAAAACCAGAGGCACCTGAGGGGCTCAGTCAGTTGAGCATTTGACTTCAGCTCAGGCCATGATCTCACAGTTTGTGGGTTCGAACCCCACATCGGGCTCTGTGCTGACAGCTCAGAGCCTGGAGCTGCTTCAGATTCTGTGTCTCCCTCTCTCTCTCTCTGCCCCTCCCCTGCTCGTGCTCTGTCTCTGTCAAAAATAAATAAACATTAAAAAATTTTTTTTTTAATTCAAAACTTCTGTAGGTAATTGTTTTTGTTTCTTGGATATCCTTCCAATTTTCCATATAACTGGGGACTCATTCCAAAGCAACTCATTCTTTATGGCTGCATTGTATTCCACCGTATGATGTCCAAACAGTTTCCTATTATTGGATGTCTGGGTTATTTCCAAACTTTTGTTATGACAAACGATAGTGCAATAAATCACCCTGCCTACATGTTGTTTCCATTTGTGGAGGTGTATTTTCAGAATAAGCTTAGGGTTAGAAGTAGAATTGCAAGAATTGATGCAATATAGTTTTGGTGCTCCATAGGGCTTCCATGATTTCCCCATTGCCACCAAAAATATCTATGACCATTCTTTCTCCAGAGCCTTGTGATTTCAACGTGCGTTTCCATAAGTGAGGACAGCCTTTTATGCTTAAGGACCACTGCCATCTTTTCTGTGAATTGTCTGTTCAAGTTCTTGCCCAAAAATTCTCCCCGGATTGTGGTCTTTTTCAGATTTTAAGATTTCCTGTAATGTACGTTGCAGGCGTTTTCTCCATACTGATCGACTTACTGGGAATATGCCATGATCCCTTTGACCATCTGGAGTACACTTTTATCCTTATAAATCACCTCATTTCAGGACACCTCCTTTAGGGGTAAACAGTTCGGTAAAGCCGGGTAAGGGGCAGATCAATCAAAAGAATTGCCTGACCCCTTGTAAGAAGTGTAAGAGATTGTTTCACGTTTAGCAGGTAACACCGTCGTTCTTACGCAATGGTCCGGGTGACACAAAGTCTTGCGTAAGGGAGTATGTTCAAATGACAAAACATTTTATCTGGCTCGTTAAGAACTCACAGGGTTCGCCTTCCGTTAGCTTCTGAGTTTGCAAGGTGCCCCTAGAGCTGCTGACACAGGCACACCCCCTTTCGGCTAGACAATAGCTCCTCGATTTCGCCACGAGATGTCAAGGTGGAGACAGACCAACCGGCCAGGTGGCTGCGCTTCACGACAGATGATAGAACGCTGGTTTCTACCGTCTCAAACAGCAAGGTTTAGCCAAGCCTAAATGTCCCACTCACGGCCTAGTTCCTGAGGTTGCACCTGGCCCGCCACCGCGCGGAAGCATCACCGATGGACGCGACACCCCACAGCGACCAATCACGCGCCGCCTGGCCCGGATTCCTCCGCCAGAGGCTGCGCCTCAGCCGCAGGTGGCCCGGCCAGCGCGTTCGCCCCGCGCCGCCAATCGCCACCCCCGCCGCCCTTCCCGTGATGCCCCGCGGCTGACCTCCGACCTCGGCGCCCACCCCTCCTCGCGGCCTGCTTCTCCCCGGGCTCTTGTCGAATTTGCAGCGTTCCGGAGGCTGTGGGGCGTGCCGCCGAGGCGCAGCTCTTCCCGTAGCGCCTGGAGGCCCCGGGCGGGTGCGGTCCCTTCGTCTTTCCTCCCCTTGACGGGGCCAGGTGACGGGCCGCTGATTGCGGCCGCGTCCGGGAGGTGACTCGGTGAGTGGGCCGGACGCGAAGCTGACTGGGCGGCGATGAGGGCGGGCTACGGCTGCGGCGCTTTGGGGCCGGGCGGCGCGGGGCGGGGCGGGGCGGGGCGGCGGGAGGAGCGGGAAGGGGGTGGGGCGTCGGGGCCTCGCGTCCTCCCTCAGCGCCATTTTGTGGCAGCGAGACCCGCAAATAAAGGGGAGCGCCAGGGCTGCGGTGGGAGGAGGAGCGCGGGGGCCGGCGGTAGCGCGGTCTGGCCGCCTGGGCGGTGAGCGGGCAGCGCGGCCTTGGCCTATGTGACTGGGCGGCGCCGGCTCGGCCTCCGTCTGGAGAGGTAGGTGCGGGCCGCCGGCGGGAGCGGCCGCGAGGACCTCCGGGTGCCGAGGGCTGAGGCGCGGCCGACCCGGGCAGGGGCGGGCAGAGCCCGGAGGACGACTCGGGGCCCCAGGACCCGCCGGCCTCCCGTTAGCTGCGCTTTCTTCGCGCCTGAGGGGACACTTCCGCCGCCCCGAGGCCATTTTGCCTTCGGTCTCCGTCCCGGGGGCGAGGTAGGCGCTCCCGCGGGCCGGCGATACCGGGAGGCCGCCCCCTCGGTGCGCGTCGCGTCCCCGCCTCGGTGTCGCCCCCTCCCACCTCTCTCCGCGGGATCCCCAGGGCTGGCGGCACTAACGAGTTCATTAAGGGACGGAAATCCATGGACCAAATTTTCACATCGCGCAGTAGGTTATTGCTGCAGCTGCGTCCTTCTGTAGACTTCCATTTTTGAGTGATTGCATGCATTCTGAGTAAAGAAAAAATTCTTAATCGCGTTAGAGGTTTTCGAGAAATTTTTAAGTCTCACCTTGGGTCTCTCTCCAAGGCTGCTGCTTACTCCTGTCGTCCAGCAGCATCTGATGAGGCTAGTCGGGGAAAGAAATTTCAGTCCACCAGGTGGCATGTGATAAAGGATGAAGTTAAATTTTAAGGGTTTGGGTGCGTGTGTTTCGGGAGTTCTTCTGGATCTTACCTTGTCATAAACAGGTAGCTGTACCCAAGGATTGAGTGTTTTCGTTTCTCAGTGGCGGACCTTAAGCAACCTACCTAAATTTCTAGCTCCCAAAGGACGAAAGTAATAATAAAATTGTGGCCCCGGCACTGTCGGTGTTTTACTTAGCTTATGTAATTTTATAGAACTTAGTGACACCTAGTTTTCCTGATTCGATTTTGAGTCATACTTGCTCATAATATTTTTGTGTTAGAAATGAGTTAGTATAGAGGATACAGAAAGTCTGTAGTAGCCCTGCGATGTGGAGATGAGAGCCTTAATCTGTACTGTGCGTTACAGCTTTCAGCGTCCTTTGTGTTCTCGGACGTATGTATGTACTTGTACGCGTATAGCATAGAATTCCCTAGAAAATAACCTTTACTTGATACGGTCTTAGCATTTCATATAATTTGTATGTTATCTCACTCGAGAAAAGATTCTGACCCCAAAAATCTCACGTTGATGGTTCCTTTAGCAAAACGATCCAGAGAGTGTTTGGTTTTATGCTTGTTTTTATTTTTTTAAATTATCTTGTATTTTTTTAACCTGTTTTCTGAAACTCAGTTTTTATCAGAAAAACTTTCCAGTATTCCCCTAATAGTATATCCCATTGGAGTTTAAGCTGGTCCATCGGGCTAGAACTCGGTGGCCATGAATATTCTCCATTATTGACAGTGTAGTTGTTGGATTTTCGTTTAATTTTTTTAATGCACATTAAACTTTTAATGTTCATATTTTGTTTGAAAAATAATTTGTGCAGCATTTTTATGGCACATGGGTGTTCATATTTCTAGCAGTACGTGAGACATGCAAAATTGGTATCCTTTTTTTGCTGATTTGGAGACTGCAGCCCAGAGTTAAATAACTTGCTCAAGATCCATGACTACTGATAAGAGTTAGGAAAAGGTGGTTTTCCAATTCCTAACTAGTATCCTTTTTACTGCAGACCCAGGGTTGTATGCTGTTGGATTATTAGTTTCTTGAGTTTAGTTATGGTTAGGTTCATTCAGTGAGGTACACACTTTCTTAAATCGTGTTGGCTGGTATTTGCCTAAGAACGGAGTTGCATAACTTCGGGTCATAATGCTAAGAGCCAGGGAAGTACTGGGATCTGAGATGCTCGGCACCTAGCCAACCAAAACTGAACTCTCCATCGTTAAATGTTTCTCATTGTTAAGACCTCAGGAGTACATGGTAGTTCTGAGATCTGAATTTAAGAGGTTATCCCTGAATTAATCCACAGGAATAACTGAAACCTTTACATAATTTTAAAGCTATGTTTTAAGCAATCTTAAATTTCCTAAAAGGTAGCCAAATTGGTCGATTTTAAGTATATTCTATTTTGCTGTTTTTATATTCTTCAGTTAGCTAAGCTTAGTCATTATTGACGATGGGAGAGTGGGAAAATAATGCATCCTCATCAGTTACCAGCTTTTGAGAGGTGTGGCTTTTGGGGTCCTAATCCCCAGTTTATTAATTAATAGCTCTTTTGACCAGAGCTAATCACCTGATGACTCACAATCATTTTCCTCATCTAGAAAATGGGGACTAACTTTGATTTTGAAAAGTTTTGATTCATAAGTGTATGACTCATAGCACTTAGTATTATATTCATCCCCCCACACCCCCAAGATTCTGGATTTAACTCCAGATATTTCGGTTATTCCATTTTTCTGATACAAAAGTAGGTGGTTCTAAGAACTTGAAATAAACATTGTCTTTATGAATCTAGAATTGATTTTAGATGGCTATTGTTCTTGTTGAAATTTAAAAGTCGCCTTGGGCAATAATAAATTTCTCACTACATTCATGTAATGTGAAAGGCAGATTTGAGAACCAAGTTCTATTTTGACCAAATAGTTGAATATTGATGCTTTTAAATTTAAACATGTTCTAATTTGCCTTTGCCTTTTTCTTTTTCTTTTTTTTTTTTGCTTGTTTGACTCTTGTGGCATATTATGGACTCTCAAAGAAAGTGACATTTTAACAGCTAAAAATTAGGGAGGGATTTCTTTCAAAATGCTTATGCTTTGAATTCCCAAGCCACATATATATTCTGTATGTGACTCTGAGAGTCGACGTGAAACACAAACCTTTTTATAAAAACTATATTTTTGATGTATGTCACAAATTTATAAATTTAGGTTTATGAAGAAAATACACATATTCTTTAAGCGATGTGTAATTAAAATTTGGCCACCGTCCAACTGTTTAGAAAGAAAGAGAACATAAACCAGTGTTAAAATTTTTAAAAACTTGATGTTTAGAATTCTAAAAATTGGAGATCACCAAGCATTCTGCAGTGGGGCTTAGAAACGAAAGACAGGAGCATGTCTTGATATCCTCAACCTGTGAATTCCCCCTTCAGTTTCTTCAAGAAGTAGTGATTGAAAGTTATTGTTGTTGCAAAGGGAGAAGGAAACTAATAATTGCTTATTTTGTGCCAGTCACCATACTAAAGATTTATATTTATCTTTAGAAGTAGCTGAATAGTTTTGAGCCTTGGTGGTGGTAATCCTTCTTGGGTTGGGCAAAATGGGCTCAGAAGTTCTGCTTTTCTTGTTTTCAGAGTTTGTCCCTCTCTTAAGAGAAAAGCAGGGTTATTAGAATTTCATGTGTTTCCTAGTCCTTTAAAAACCTTTTAAACATAATTTAGGTTATTTGTTGCTAATTAAGCATTTAATTAATTTTATTTTAATGGAATAATTTGAATATGTATTAAGAAAAGAACCAATCTGGGGAAAGTGTCCTGTTACAGAAGCATTTACTAGTTTATAAACTGGAATTTATATTGAATAACAGCCATAATGCTTAAGTTTTATAACTAAAATTCTGAGTAGCTATGGTGCTCATTTACTGTGTAACAAGTGGATTACCTGTCCACAGTGGTAAATTTAGCTGTTTTGAAACTGTCACTCATAGCATTGTTATCACAGTATCTGTTATATTAGGCTCCACATTTATTCTCAAGATTTTACTGTAGATCATCTTGTTTTGGGGGGAGAAAATTGGGTTCACTTTTATGATTTCAGTAGTAATTGAAGCAAATTCATTTGTTCATACTTCCATTCAGCATATACTTGAGTGTCTGCGGTGTGCTGTGCCATCACCAGTGAATAAAACAATTCTAATGGAGCTTATTTTATAATTGGGAGAAACAGAGAAGTATGTAAAATGTCAGATGATGATAAGAACTATGAAGAAAAGTAAAGCTTGATGTGAAGGGATAGCAAAGGATAAACTTGCACTATTTTTAGTGAGTTGGGGTACCTTTAGAAGTAGTGACTTGCAGAGGTACACGTATACTAGGTTAAAATGGCTAGAAGTTCAGAGGGCTAGAATTGTCTCATAGGTTTTTTTTTTTTTTAATTTTTTTTTTAATGTTTTATTTATTTCTAGGAGAGAGAGAGAGACAGCGTGAGCAGGGGAGGGTCAGAGAGAGAGGGAGTCACAGACTGAAACAGGCTCCAGGCTCTGAGCTGGCTTTCAGCACAGAACCTGACGCGGGGCTCGAACCCACGAACCGTGAGATCATGACCTAAGCGAAAGTCGGATGCTTAACCGACTAAGCCACCCAGGCGCCCCTAGAATTGTCTCATAGGTTTTTAAAATGTTTATTAATTTTGAGAGAGAGAGAATCTCAATTGGAATCTGTTCTGTCAGCCTGGAGCCCATCGAGGGGCTTGAACTCAAGAACATTGAGATCATACCTGAGCCAAAATCAAGAGTCAGACCTCTAACCAACTGACTTCACCCAGGCGGCTTTCATTGGTTTTTAAAAGTTATTTAGTTTATAGACATTTACCTGCTATATTTAGCTCAAATGGGAAATTGCAAAGAAATGCCAAGTTTGATTTCTGGGTACCAGTAGGTTGCAGTCTAGTAGAGTGAATGCACTTTGAACATACTAAAATACAAGAAGACCTCTGGGGATAATCATGGTGAAAGTTTGTTTCCCAGATGATTGGAATCACTGGTACCATTTTAGGGTAGTCGCTAAGCAGTTGTCTGTTACTTCCAGCAGAGAGTATAAAATGGGCAGCAAGACCCCTAAAGTAAACAGGGGCCCATTTAAAGGTGGGAAAAAAAAGAAAATAATACAGACCTTAAATTATAGAAATAATGATCATGCCTTCATAGGTACTGGTCAGAGATTTGATTAACTTCTTAGTTCAGAAACAACCTCAGATAATTTGCCTTCTGCACCCAATGATAGAATTATTAAAGAAGGAAGAATTAAGCCAGCAATATATAATATCAACTTGTGGGGTTTTTTTCCCCTAAATATACTGATTTCTTCAACACAGTGTACCTAGTCTGAAAATGAGGTTTTAATGGTAGTACATGATTAGAATGTCTGATTTACAGAATTTGGATTGTATGTAACATAAAAAGTGATATTGGAAGATTATTTCATTTTGAGGAATCTTAAATAGTTAGAAGTCAGGTACCTTTTAAAAGTTCAGTTTTAGGGGCACCTGGGTGGCTCAGTCAGTTAAGCATTCTAGTCTTGATTTTGCCTCAGGTCAGCATCTCACTGAGTTCAAGTAGACCACACGTGCATATGCTTGTGCGCACGCTCTCTCTCTCTCAAAATAAGTAAATTTTTAAAGTATAAATTCTTTGGTTAAGTTTTTTTATTGAGGTATAATTGACATGTATCTTTAGCTTCAGATGTACAGTGTAATGGTTTCAGTATTTGTATATATCGTGAAGTGGTCACTACAGTAAGCCTAGTTACCATCTGTTACCACAGTTAGAATTTTTTTTCCTTGTGAACTCTTTCAAGATTTATTCTCTTAGCAACTTTCAAACATGCAATACAGTTTTACTGATTATAGTCACCATGCCATAATTTACATCATTGTGATTTATTTCTCTTTGGTTAAATGTTTAATAGTTTGGAATTTGTAATAAGCGTGGGTAAGTAAACTAAATATAAAGGTAGTTTAAAATATAAGGGGAAGATTGCTGACAACGCTGTTGGAAATAAAACTTAGGAATGAATTTAAATTTGCTTGTGTTATTTGAATACTACATATCAGAAGTGTTTTCAGTAATAAAGTTAAGGAGAGTAGTTCTTTTGTATAACCTGTCTTTTGCAACAGGGTTAAGTAAATTTTGGATACATTTATAAAAAGAAGCTAACTGACATAAGATTCATAAAATTAGGGTAGGAATATTTTTATTAAGGTGTAAGTGTATATCATATATATATGCATTCATTGTACAGTGGTGAATTATCATGATGATGACAGATTCTGCTTTACTAGAGCAACCTAATGATGTAAAAGGAAAGGCTTAGCAACTGGTACTATCTTTCCTTTTCTTTCAGAAGATGTCTGGGATACTACCTGAGATCCGTATCTGACTTAAGTACAAAGCTATCACTTCCATAAGATTTCTCTTTCTCATAAGACAGTTGTAAAAATGCACTGAGAAGTTACATATCTGGTCACGCCTTTATGGGAACATCAAAAGCAATGACCAGTTGTTGTTTTTTTTTTTTTTTTTTACAAAGGAATTCTTAAAAATAACCTGAAAACAGTAGTAATGAAAGATACTAACAAAGGAGAAGGTGGGTGTGGAGTATATGGGAGCCCTGTGATATCTTTGTAACTTTTCTGTAAATGTAAAACTATTATAAAATGAAAGGTTTTTAAGAGAGCCCGGGTGGCTCAGTCGGGCTGTCTCATGGTTGGTGAGTTTTGAGTCACAGTTGAGTTCCGAGTCCGGAGTCAGGCTCAAAACTAAGTTCCCTAATTGGTTTAAAAGAGCTAGTATTTTTTGTTCCTGTCTTAATTGGAAGAAAATCAATCAAACCTCTGCTCTCTGCCCCTTTTTCTTAGGATTCAAGATGACCAACGAAGAACCTCTTCCCAAAAAGGTGTGTGTTTTTTTTTTTTTTTCCAGCAGGTTTTTTAAGCACTTTGTGGGTTGGGGGGAGGGTGTTAATAGAGTTAAAGGGACTGTAATTTGTTTATTGTTCACTCTTTTGCCTTATAACACTAATGGCATTGTGTGGTGTGTAATGTGCTGGACATAATCTTATAGGCAGTGTATTTTTAGAATATTGTCAGTTTTTGAAAAACTTGTATCTCCATGGTCTATTCTTAATCTTTATTATACGGATAAATTCCATGTATGTAACAATAAATGTCAAAAAAGATTCCTTCACAAGTTCTTATAAGTTGCTTATTTTCTTTTTTTTTCTTTTCCTTTTTAAATCCCTTTGATTGTATGGTAAAAACCTCTTCTGTGTTTTCAAGAAAAGGTTATAGCTAGTTAGTTCTTAGATCCTACCTTTCCTCTGATGTTTGTTTTCTAGTCTCATTTTCTTCTTGTCCTATATCCCTAACTTAATTCAATTTAGTCAGTATTACACACAAAATTACAAAATAACATAATTCCTAAAAGTAACTTATAATTCAGGTGGGAAGACAGGGTATGTGCATATTAAGCAGTGAGTATTTAAGTGAGCACTTTACGTGGTGTTATGGGAATTTGTCTTTAGTTTTGAAGTTAAATTATTCAGGAGATAAAGAATTCTACTGATTTAATAATCAGAATTAATTGTGTGCTTTTTAGACTTTCTAATGTATTTTGGTACAGTAATTTTCTTAAATTTCCTTTTCTTAAAAGAAACTAATCAAGCATTAATTTTATACTAAAGTAGAAGTGTCTCACCTGTACAGTCTACATTTGGTATAGAGAAAACAAATAATGTTTCAATTCACAAAGCAGTTTCAGCTAGTTGGAATATTGTGCTCAGTTTTTAAACACTTTTTATTTTTAAATAATTACTGATTCACAGGAAGTTGCAAAGAAATGTACAGGGAGGTTCTGTGCACTCTTCACCCAGCCTCCTTCAGTGTTAATTTTGCATGACTGTTAGACATCTTGTGTAACAATATCAAAACCAGGAACTTGCCATTAGTACAGTCCACAGAGCTTATACATGTGTTTTGTGTGTGTGTGTGTGTGTGTGTGTGTGTGTGTTTGTGTGTAGTTTCACCATGGGTAACTTAGTGTACCACCACCACAACCAAAACAGTCAACTGAACCATTACTAACAGGCCTTCATTTTGCCTCTCCCCCATAGCCCCATCCATCCTTTCCCTCCATCCTAAACCCCTCAACCACTAATTGGTTCTCTATTTTAGTAATTCTGCTCGTTCACAAATGTTATACCAAAGAAAGCATGCAGTATATGTCTTTTGGGATTTTTCCACTCAGTAAAATTTCCTGGAGGTGTATCCAAGTTGATCCATAGACTTTCTTTTTAATGGTAGATACAGTATTCCAAGGGTGTGGATATACGTAGCTTGACCATTCACCTGTTGAAGGAAGTTTGGGGGCTATTACAAATAAAGTTGTGAACATTCATAAACAAATTTCTGTGTGAAAATAAATTTATTTCTCACCAGCAATGTATGATGCCCAGCATTTAGTGTTAACTGTTGTTTTCTTAAGCCATTCTAATAAATGTGTAGTGATAGCTCATTGAAGTTTTAATTTGCATTTCCTTAAGAATGATGCTTATATTAAAGATAAGTAGTTCACCTTTTAAAAATTTCTCTTCAATAAAATAAGAATTTAAAAAAACAATGTGTATTGAGCCGTTTAAGTCTCAGGCTCTGGAGATGTTTCACATGTCTCCGTACAGAGCTCCTTTTGGGAGGGATGCTGTGTGATTTTAATAATAAGGGTATTCCTAATAACAGAAATGAGCAATTGAGGGATTAAAATGTTACGATCTTGTCTAAATAAAAATGTGAAGATTGTAAGAACCTATAGTATTTAATATTTAAAAGTTTTAGGAGTTGGAGTTCCTGAGTGGCTAAATTGGTTAAGCGTCCAACTCTTGTTGCTGGCTCAGGTCATGATTTCACAGTTCCTGGGATGGAGCCCTGTGTTGGGCTCTGTACTCACAACGTGTGGAGCCTGCTTGGGAGTTCTTCTGTTCCTCTTTCTGCCCTTCCCCTGCTCAGGCGTGTGCTTTCTCTCTCTCAAAAGTAAAAATAAACTTTGGGGAGAAAAGTTTTAGGAAGAGCAGTCAGTTCATATTTTAATTCTCTTTATATAGGTTCGACTGAGTGAAACAGACTTCAAAGTTATGGCACGAGATGAGTTAATTCTAAGGTAAAAAAATTTTTTTAATCAAAACTATAAAGTACTTTCTATGGAACATATTGTGATTCTATCCTATAATTATCTTCAAGTTAGATTATGTTCTTTTTAACGTTAATACATCCTCAAATCTTTAATACACTGTCCAACATACTATGGCCTGTTCATTATGTAAACACTGAGGAAAGTATAACTCTTCCTAGAACTAAAGTACTAGCTTGGGAAGCTTCTGGACTAATAGGTAACCTGAGTTTTTCTTGCATAGGGAAGATCATCAGAATTTTAACTGAAAGCATTTGTACTCTGTATATAACTTGTTATGGGGAATGACCCTGCTTTCAGAAAGCTTTCAGTTTAACAAGTATATAAACTTCTTTTGATGTTATTTTTTCCTTTTTCGATATGTGAAAAAGTTGTAGCCCTAAAGGACATGTCTAGTTATAGAAAAAAATACATCATTTACTGATAGGCAAAATTACTCTTTCTCATAACCGTAACTTTCTACATTTAACTATATTCATTTTCTCATCTGTAAGTTAAAGGAGTTGAATTAAATTACTTTTAAAGGTTACTTTAAGCTCTGAATTTCTGTGGTCATCCTGTAAATTTCTTTGAAAAGTAGATTGTCAAGAACAGCATTAAGGGTGTTTATTTTTTTTAATGTAAAATATGATCAACGCAGGTTTTGTGTTGTGTAACTTAAATGTGTTTTTTGCATCTTACTACTTTGTGTGATAAGTTTTTTACATGATAATTTTTAGAACAAAAAGTATTTTTCAGGGCACCTTTGCCAAGATCATTGAACTTTTTTCTCTAGAATTTTCCAGGTGATTTTTACTTGAATAAGTAAATTTAATTGACCAGAAGTAGGGAGGAGAAAAGTGTTCAATAAGATAGGCAGACACAGGTGACATGTTCTATTGTTAACTAGAATCTGATAATTTCTCACCTTCTTCACCTACTCTGTTGTAAACAAGCTCTTTATTTTCATGCAAAGGACAATTTTTCCACTGCATACATTTATTTTCCTGCACATGAAATTTAAATCTATAGTATTCTAAAAACACTTTTGTCCTCCTGGTAAAGTAGAGCCTTGCTTATGATAATACTGCCATTCACATGTTGATACTTATTCTCTCTCTACCTCTGGTTAGTATATGCAGTCTTTTTCTTGATTTATCTGTAGGAGGAGAAATCAGTAGTATGATCTTAAAAAATAAATAAAAATTAATGGTAGCAATTCTTTATCTTCAGTTACTGGTAAGGTTTTAAGTCATGCACAGTTTATATTCTTGAGGTCAGTTTAACTTTCTTTAGGGAATTCTCATATATGACTTTTAAGTGAGTTTTTCCCCTCACAAATTCTCTTGGTGATTTTAAATCAAGTGCTACTTATTTAACTATTCTGTTTTCTGCCATCTTGATAAGGATGTTTTTGGCTGAGCTTTTATATTTTTCTGTTCCCCTAAAATAGTTACGTAGCCTCTACAAAAGACTTCATTCATCCCCAAACATTGAGTGAAACTCCTGTTTGTATCCTAGGTTCTAGGGCCCATAACAGTAAGCATGCCTTTGACTGAACAGTAAAAGGTGAATTCGCTTGGTATCCTGGGATTTTTTTTGCTCATTGTTTTTGTAATATTGATATCTCATAACAAACCTATCAAGTTTTTGAGGTTTCTATGGAAAGATTTTCTAAAATCAAGGGTACAGTTGACCCTTGATGAACAACACAGATTTGAACTGTGTGAGTCCATTTACATGCAGATTTTATACAGTGCAAAACTTGAAATGTATTTTGCTTTCTTAATCCTTTTTCTAGCTTTACTATAAGAATACCGTGTATAGTACATACACAAAATACAGCTTATTCAAGTGTTTATATTAATCGGTGTAAGTCTTGTGATCAGCAGTAGGCTGTTAGTAGTTATGCTTTTTGGGGAGTCAAAAGTTAGACATGGATTTTTGGCTATGCAGGATTTCTCCCTAAACTCCCACCCCACAGGGGTCAAAGGTCAACTAAATTTTGGATAGCTGTAACTGAAGAACAGCTTGAAAATAGAGCTCTTCAGAAGAGCAGGATAGCAGACATTTTGGGCAGGTTACTTTTTGTTAGTTGCTTAAATGGGGATCTTGTTTATTAACAATAATTGCCAAGCTAACATAGCCTATGTCTTGAGGGTAGAGGAATATAACAAGGAAGAAAAGTTCCCTCATACTCTGATAGCATATGACATTTATGCACATTGTTTCTGTCAGTTAGATATAGTTTAAAGAATAGTTTTGAATGTGAGTACATTCTCTCTCCCCTTTTTACCGGCAAAAATAGATTGAATCACATGATATTTGCAGAAAAGAGCTAAGATAAAGAATCTCGTGTCCCTTATAATTAGGCACATTTCTTAGGTGCCATTTGTTTGAGGTGGACGGCATATCTGAAAGTAGCGAGTTGTTTACTCAGTTTCTATAATCTAGGCATTGTGCTGAGCATCAGTGATAAGAGTCCTGTAAGGCATGTGAGCTGACCTGGAGGAGCATACTTGGTATATTCTCAGCAGAGAACACTTAAGTTTATGGGTGTGTTTTTCTAGTGTATTTAATAAAAGCAATATTAATGTAACAACTAACATGTGAATTTATTTTTGTACTAGATGGAAACAATATGAAGCATATGTCCAAGCTTTGGAGGGCAAATACACAGATCTTAATTGTAAGTTTTTAGTTTCCTGAAGATTATGTGAATATCTCCTTTTAGATTTTTGTTTTAGGAAAAATTATGTTATGGGATAATTGGTTTTACCAAGCAATTGTAATTTTTTTAATGTTTTTTTTTAGAGCGAGATATCACAAGCAGCGGAGGGGCAGGGAGAGAGGGAGACACAGAATCTGAAGCAGGCTCCCGGCTCTGAGCTATCCGAGCTATCAACTCAGAGCCCCATGTGGGGCTCGAATTCATGAGCAGTGAGATCATGACCTGAGCCTAAGTCGGACACGGGACTGAGCCATCCATGCACCCCAGCAATTGTAATTTTTATTCAGGCATTTTGTTACAGAATTTGCCCAAGCACTCACCATATTGCTGCTGTGAAACAGCTGAATGAGCCGTGATCTCTCTTCTTGAGGAATTCCTATGAAGTCATTGGGAAAGACCAACATGTAATAATCATGGAATAGCAAGACTGTTTTAGTAGAATTACATACAAGTGTTTGAGAGCCTAGATGGAGAAACTCACAAATACTTGAAACTTTCCTCGATGTGTCCCTGCTCACTTCCACAGAAGAATTAGAAGTGAAGCATGAGTTATTAGTCTAGAAAGGAGGTGCATAGAAGCAACACAAAATAAACTTCTAAGAGCTTAAAGTTTAAATCTTCTGTAATCAAAGTAAACAAAATCTGAAAAATAATACCAACAAAGTTGATTAGTTTCAAACCATTTTAGTTTTTGTCACTTGTCACTGAAGAATAACGTACTTTTTGTGATTATAAAAAGCAACACGGGCACCTGGGGCCCTCCGTTGGTGAAGTGTCCAACTTTTGATTTTAGCTCAGGTCATGGTCTCATGGTTTGTGAGATCTGTGCTGTGAGCATGGAGCCTGCTTGGGATTCTCTCTCCCTTTCTCTGCCCCTTCCCTGCTCCTGCACACAGTCTCTCTCTCAAAGTAAACTTTTTTAAAAAGGGGCAATATAATATAGGGGCACCTAGGTGGCTCAGTCAGTTGAATGTCCAACTTTTTATTTCGGGTCAGGTAATAATTTCACAGTTTATGGGTTCATGCCCCACATGGGACTCTGTGTTAACAGCATGGGGCCTGCTTGGGATTTCTCTGTTTCCCTCTCTCTGCCCCTGCTCTGCTTGTGAATTCTCTCAAAAATAAACATTTAAGGTGGGGGGGCAATGTAGTTTTCCACGTCCAGAAAGCTTCAAAACCTGAAATTTCAGTTACTATATGACTATATTATAATCCAGAGGCATTAACATTATGAGAGCTTAAAGTAATAATTGTGCAGTTTTTGGCATGTTTACATTGAATAGGTTAAAAACAATATAGTCAGGACTTGGTGAATATACTGTACTATAGACGGATACGGGTAACGAAGCTGCCCATGTTCTGGGAGGTGGATTGGACAAGCATAACATAATTCCATGTAGGATGAGGTGGCTGTGGGCCATTCTAACACCACTGTCTCCTAAAAGAGCACTTGTGATCAAGAACACATTTCCTTGTTATAAAAGTAGTTGGGATAGAAACTAATGACTGGATGAATTTTTTTTGCCTCTATTTTTATTATCCTTGACAGAGGCAGTCAGAACTTTATTTGGGGTAGGTCAGTTTGATCATGAAATTATATTTCATAATGTTACAGGATTTTTTTTTTCTTTTAATCATCAGCTAATGATGTAACTGGGTTAAGGGAGTCTGAAGAAAAACTAAAGCAGCAACAACAAGAGTCTGCCCGCAGGGAAAACATCCTTGTAATGCGACTAGCTACCAAGGAGCAAGAGATGCAAGAGTGTACTGTAAGTATTTCAAGTGTTTTAAGTCTTTTTGAGAAATTGGTTTTTAGTCTGCATTATTACATGTATTAGTATTTAGCTAATTTTATATACTTGTAATTATAAACACATTTTGTTAAGGTAGATATGCTTCAAGCTATAAATATGCTAACTAAAATTTTGGTAGATCACCCCATTATTGGATTTGAATTTTTTTTTTTTTTATGGCCAAGAAGTTGAAAGTTTTAAGTTATTTTCCGTGATACGATAATCAGTATACTGATTCAGATGTTTTTTAGTAGCTTGGTATCTGAGAGTATAAAGAGGATTTGCTCCTTTCTAAGCAAGCTCTTTCTTCTCTGCTCTCTTTACCTCTCTGTGCATAAAACTTCTTCCTAGTTATCAGCAACTTCTACCATGTCTGTTTTTAATTAACAGCTTTCATTTGTACGTAGATCTGAAATCCCTTGACATGTTTGATCATTTAGGTCTGGTTGGATTTAGATTCGATTTTATGCTCTATTCAGTAGTCTCAGTCATTCCTTTTTATTTAGCGTTTGTATATATGTTATATAAAATAGAGGTAGCACTATCCATGTTGTTTCTAATTTTAAAAATTTGAAACTTAAAAAAATAATTTTATGTATTTAAAGTAATCTCTAGGGGCTGCCTGGGTGGCTCAGTCAGTTAAGCATCCGACTTCGGCTTAGGTTATGATCTCACAGTTTGTGGGTTCGAGCCCCACATCAGGCTCTGTGCTGACAGCTCAGAACCTGGATTCTGCTTCAGATCCTGTGTCTCCCTCCCTCTTTGCTCCTTCCCTGCTCATGCTCTTATCTCTCTCTGTCTCTCAAAAATAAATAAATGTTAAAAATAAATAAAATAAAAATAATCTCTATACCTGTTGTGGGGCTCAAACTCATGACCCCAAGATCAAGTTGCATGTTCTTGCAACTGAGCCAGGCAGGCATCCTGAAAATCTGAAATATTCTTCCATTCTTTTGTGTAATCTACATTGGTCTGATACATTGTTTATTAAATCTAATGCAGAAGGCAATTTTCTGCTGACTGGAGACTCTGATCATATATGGGACACAGCCTTATTCCTAGTTGATTTCTCACCAGTAAAATGTTCTTTAGGATTCAGTCACAGCCCTTTTACTTCCTGTGAAGTTTCTCTCAGTAATCATACACCTTCACTTTCTATATTTTTATCTCTTGACTACCCCCTACCTTTGGCTATATTTTTTACCTGAACACTTGGTTCCAAGAAGTCTCACCAATTATTGAATATAATTTTATTATTATTTTTTTAGTGTTTATTTTTGAGAGACAGACCACAAGTCAAGGAAGGGCAGAAAGAGAGGGGGGAGGCACAGAATCTGAAGCGGGCTCAAAGCTTTGAGCTGTCAGCACAGAGCCCGACATGGGGCTCGAACCCACAAACCGCAAGATCATGACCTGAGCTGAAGTCAGACGCTCAACCAACTGAGCCACCCAGACGCCCCTGATTTTCTTTTCTTTATAGGTAACACCCACCCCACCTCTTAAAATTTTTTTCTCCCTTTTAGATTTTCATATCTAACAAAGTGGGCCCTATGTCTCTAAAGTACCCAATCTCAAAACTTTTCTCCTTTTCCTGATATTAAGGATTCTAGATTCTACCTAGTTTTAGGCCTGTTTACATGGCACTATGCCAGATGCTTATACATGCAATGGAAGACTCTTAGCTGCAAGATACTAACTGCTGGTAGAGTGTGAATGGATGGTGCCAATGGCATTATCTCCTAGCACCAGTGTGTCTTGAATTCTTTCTTGAGCCCTACTCTTGACATCTTAGTTCATGTACTTTTTTTTTTTTAAATAATGGTTAGATAACACGAAATAGGTGGCAATGCCTTAACCATATGTGTTGTCAGGCCCTTGGGCCTCTTCCATCCTTGTCAAGGGAGTACTCCTTTTATACAACACCTAGTTCGTGTACTTCTTACCACTTGCCTAGACAGTATATCCTGTTGACTCCTATTGTTCTCCAGCTATTCTATATGCACTGACAATTTTGATAACATCATGCCTGATCAGAGCCTTTGGTGATGCTGCATCACCCTTTTATCTTCTCATCCTAGGTTTTTAAGGTTTTTTTCAACTAGAACCTAACCATTTCCAGTCATACTTCTGTAGTTTTCTCCATGTCAGCTGAACCAGCTGATTTTCAGTTAAATACAGAGTAAGGTTTTTGCAGAAAGGGTGGCAGCAGCAAAAACATAAGGAAAGGGCAAGATTATCTGTGGCAACTGAGGGGCGGTTCACTTTGTAAACCTAAATAGTAACTGTCCATCTTGGAGAGGCAGGTTTTCTTTAGGGATCACAGTGGGTGATATGTGCTGTGTGACATGCTTTGTTCCTGTTCAGTTATCTTAGCAACTAGTCTTAACGTTGAATAAGTAACTGCACTTTTTTGTTTAAAATGAGTGGCTTTAAGGGGCACCTGAGTGTCTCAGTTGGTTGAGTCCAGCTTCGGCTTGGGTTATGATCTCGTAGCTTGTGAGATCAGGCCCTGCTTCGGGCTCAAGATGCTGCAGTGTGGAGTCCACCTCATCCTCTGTTCCCCTCTCTGGGTCCCTCCCCTACTCCTGCTCTCTCTCTCTCAAAAATAAAATGTTTTTTAAAAAATTGAGTAATTAAAAAAAAACTCCTTATTCTAAATAAAAATTATTTGTTTGCTTAATGAAATAGTAAATATATGTCCAATCCACATAGCATATTTGTATTTTTTGCTAAGTTTTGGTAGAAATTAGCAACTTACAAATTGTTTACATTAGTACCTATTTTAAGTGTTAGTGTGTGGCAAGATCTTGAACCAAAATTACTTTGGGTGTGAAGAAAGTGATTCATTTAATGCTAATAAACTGTATTTCATATTTTAGAAGTGTAATTTTAGTGTGCTAGTAAATAGTACAACTGAAGTCGAAATTGAAGGTTTCATATGTAAGTAGAGGGGTTCTGGTGTGGTGGAAAAAACCCTAGACTGGGAGTCAGGAGGCTTGAGAACTAGAATCTAGTCTCCGTTCTTGCACTGAACTGTGTATCCTTGGGCAGTTGGCTTATTTCATTTCAAAAATGAGTAGTTGGATTTGGTCAGTCACCTTCCACCTGTATAATTCCGTGATTTCAAATCTACTCAGAAGAAAAAAATGAATATACACTTTATTTTGACTTGAGCTATTTGTAAAGCTGAAAAGCCAACTCATGTAAATATATAAGCATGGTATATTTTTAAATTTGGAAGTACAAGCGTATATTTTAGGTTATCTTGTACTTGGTATATTTTTAGGAGACTTCTACATTGAATAATTTCCATAGATACAAATTTGAGTAAATTACTGTACTCTTAGGTAATGTTTTAAATTTGGCTATTTTCTAGTGAAAATATTTTTGGCAAATATAATTGTTTTTTTTGTATCATTTTGATCCCAAAATAAGATGTAGGCCTCTTTAAAGTTTCCAGATATGGAAATGCACTTGTAGCCTTAATTCCTACTTGAATAACCTTAATAGTTATTTACAATTTGTACTTCTCTAGAGGTTAAGATTAAAGGAGGAAAGATTTAATAAATTGGTATATTCTGTGAATAAAAGGGATTTTACACTACCTTCTTGGGTGTATTTTCTTTGACTTGGTAGTAATTGTTTCTTTTGCTTTGTACAGACTCAAATCCAGTACCTCAAGCAAGTCCAGCAGCCTAGTGTTGCCCAACTGAGATCAACGATGGTAGACCCAGCGATCAACTTGTTTTTCCTAAAAATGAAAGGTGAACTGGAACAGACTAAAGACAAACTGGAACAAGCCCAAAATGAACTGAGTGCCTGGAAGTTTACGCCTGATAGGTAAACAAATCATACTCCCCAGTCAAGACTTCCCTGACAGTCCCACTGCGAGAAAGCTGTGGTGGGACAGCCAAGTACTCGTTTCCACACCAAGACTCAGACTTTTTGAGCCAAAAAAAGCCACATTCTTATACTATCCAGCTTGTAATGGTTAATGTAAAACTTACCAGATGAACCTTGTGTTTCAGCTTTTTTCTCTTCCCCCTCCCCTTGCTTCAGAGGCCTGATGGCGTCGGACTATTCCGAAGAAGTGGCCACCTCCGAAAAATTCCCCTTCTAGAACATGTAGACACTTGAGAAATGTTTCTGTTTGAAGAAAATAGAGGGAGAAACAGAAGTCTTAAGTCTGTGGCACACTGTGTCTTCAGACAGTTTGGAGGAATGAAAACCTAGAGATTTAAAATCATGAATTGAACATGTAAAATTCCAGTAAAATGTAAAAATGGAATATGCATCGCTCTTAACCTTGAGCATAGTGACTTAGAGACACTGTATATCAGTTTTGCCAATAAGACTGTGGACTTCGTGATTGTTGTTGAACTTCTGGGTGAAAACTCAAATGAGGTGAATTTTGCCTTTAAAGAGCTTCATTTGCTAAGAACCAACTTAATAGTCATGGGAGAATCAAATAATAGATGTCAGTACAAGTAGTTCATATATTTTACCATTTAGTTTTGGGCTCTATATTACTTGATTGAGCCTTAAATCAATGTGGTTTTAATCAATGGTTTGTTCTTTGAATGGTTGCTAATGCTGTAGATAATCTTACTGAGGACTGTACAAACATAAAGGTGTGGTATCAAACTTCAGGTTGAAACTGTTTGAAGCATTATGAACATTCATTTCACTACTAGATTGTATAAGGATATTGGCTGTGATGAGACTCACTGCGTTATTTTTTTCAGTAGTGAAATTAAATCCCCATTCCATTCAACAGGCACATGTTGAAAGAGCATTGTCGTTGGTGTTAATGGGGGAATGTGTTTCCTTCATTGTATTTGGGCCTTTTGTATTGCACTCTTGATATTAAATTAAATGTGCCTTGAAGTAGTTGGTTTTTTTTTTTTTTTTTTTTTTTTTAAGTTCAAGGAATAATATGATTTTGTTGTACTTTTAACATTTTGATTTTGGGGGGCTGTGGAGAGCAGATTTTGGAAAACTTGTTGCCGTGCTCTTCAAAGTGAAGGAAAAGGCTCTGTGTCACATTTTTAAAGACCTACTTTTTTCCAGCTGGTATCATAAAAGACAAGGAGACTTGACACTTGTTTCTTTTTGACACCTTGTCCCAGGATATTGCAGTACAAATTAATGTGGGACAGATTCACAGGGTGCCTGCCAGAAGATTGGGGAAATAATGTATTGGAACTGTGGGATGGCCTAAGTGAGACATTTTGTGAATTAAAAAAAAAAAGGTCTAGTGATCATTTCTAGCAAATTCATTTGATCATTTAGATAAATGAGGCATTATTTTCTTCATGCTTCCATCCAATCCTGGAGGTGAATTTTTTTCGTCAGATCATTCTCTTAAGTCACCAATGAGAATTTTCACTTGGTGATAATGGAGTCTAAGATGAGTGGAAGATAAATGTTCCAGATTGTCCCAACGCTTAAGTGCAGTTTTAACAAGGGTGACTTAAGTTCTCTCTTAACCATTCAAATCAATTGTAAGTATCTTGTATGTTTGTGCTTTAGGGAACTGATTGTGGGGCAGAGGGTGGGTTGAAGAAGTGGTTTGTGTGATTTTACAGCAAGAAATCTTCTAAAATTCTCATTATTGGTGGGTTTGGAGGGTAAGTAATAAAAAAATGTGCCGCCTTAAGGCATTGGTATATAATTTATGCTATTTAAGATCACAGTAGAAATGGCCTACATACTTTTAGTAGGTCAAGAAATAATTCATAAAAATGTATTATTAACATGTACTCAACATTTTATTAGCCAGCATCTTGCTGCTTAGGTAAGAGTCACTATGAGGTCTGTGGGTTTTTTTCTTCTCACTGTTAAAAATATTTTTTTAATAAGATAATACATGCTCATGTATAAAATTGGAACAGCATGAAGGTGGAGACAAAAAATGAGAATCCGTTCTGGATGTGACCTTGCCTTTCCCCATTGTGTTCTCCAGGAACAGTAACCACTGTTAAATTTCTTGGGTGTCATCAAGATAATTTCTATGCATATATAGTCATTTTATATATATTGATTTTAAAGGTGAACGTACATAACATAGATGATTGCAGCTTTGTTGTCCCCTGCCCCTAACACACACAGTTTATCCCTTGCACATTTTTTTCATTCTTTTATTAGATTCATTTTTAATGGTTACATAATATTTCCATTGTATTAATAAATCACAATTTATTTTAATCACCTGTAAGTGAATTTTTGTTCTGTAAAAAAATAGGGTATAAACGGTGCTATAAATACATCATTAACTTGAAACAGGTAGTGCTTAATCAGTGCTGTGTCTGGAATAATTAAGATAGAATGGGTTATGGGTTTTTCCCCCCGCTTCCCTATCCTGTTTTGTTTTGAAAGAGACAGATCCTCTGAATTATATTCTCTGCATTAGTTAAAATATTTCACACTTGTAACTGCATATATTTTAGAGTATTTAAGAGAGATATTTCAGTTATTTTGACAGTTCTGTTTTGCGTTAATCATTTAGGTAATTGTGTGTACACCTCTCAGATAACCCTGGCCCTCTTCCTTGTGATCATAAAGCAATGTATAGTGTCTGTTCTTTTTTATAAATCTTTCTCTCAGATTGTTCTTTCATATTTTCTTTGGGATTATTTGATTTTAGGAATGGGGTGGGGAGATTGTAATTAAAGAAAATTATTCCAAAGACAGTTCTTTGTAACTGAACACTTAACCATTTTGGGGGATGTGATGAACACAATATAAATCTTACATGACATGGTAAAATTGCAAAGTGTTTTAAGGCTTGTTTCAGTAATCACTAATTTTAGAAGTGATAGGATTATTTTAGAGCAGGCATTTATAAAAAGGTATGACTATAAATGAAGCATTTTTTCTATTAGAATTTGTGATATTTTATATGTGGTTAAGTCAGGTCACAAATTAATGTATTGGTTTTACCAGTAGTCTTTTTTCATAATCTTTATTCAATTCACATAGGATTTTCAGTTTAGTTGGAAAACACTGAAGGTATAAACTTTGTAAGAAAACAGAATTGTGGGAGCATGGGCAGTGATGTGAGCGGAGCGCCACTGCCTGCTCGCAGTGACCGTCTTTTAACTCCTCGCTGGGTTTCTAAACTCTTGCTCAGTGGGGGCCAAAGTCTGAGGGTACGAAGGGGAAATGAGGGGGAGTTCAGAGCTACAGCAACCAACAAGAGCACCAGCTAATAAAATTACCATGCAGAGGATAAGATCCTTACCAAGTGCTTTCACCTGAGGCTGCTCTGAGCAGCAGTAACCCAGGTTTTACTGCACCACAGAGAAATTTAATTTACAAACTTTTGCTTGAATTACCCGTGAATTAGGGTAGAATATGTACAATGGGTGGAAACACTAGAACACCAAGTCAAAGAATGAGAATCATTTACCAAATACTCTCATTTAACTTATTTTTTAAAATGTTTATTTTTGAGAGAGAGAACGAGGAAAGTGCAGAGGGAGAGGGGGACAGAGGATCTGAGGTGGGCTCTGCACTGAGAGCACAGAGCCCGATGAGAGTCTCAGAATCATGAACCATGAGGTCATGACCTTACCTGAAACCACAAGTGGAGCCTCTTAACCAGATGAGCCACCCAGACACCCCACAAAATGCTCTTATTTTAAAAGTCTGAAGGCTCATAATAGGATCTGATGCATTGTGAAGTAATGTATCAGGCAAGTGAAAGCCCCCCTAAACAGAACAGAAGGAAGGAAAGAACAGAAAATGTCAGCAAAACATTTTTTTTAAACCTGTTTGGTCTTTCTGAGCTTTACGCCATCACAAGAATATCAGGCTGTCCCTGGTGGAGCATGTGACTCATGATCATGGGGTCGTGAGTTCCAGCCCCATGTTGGGTGTACTTAATTAAAAAAAACTAAAAGAATATCAGACTATCCTTATTCAAGTCTCAGCTAATACCACAATTACATACTTAAATCAGATCCCTTTAGAAGTGATCATTTCTATTGTTATCACTGAGGCTAAAGAAAAGTTACAAAATTTTGGGGCGCCTGGGTGGCTTAGTCGGTTAAGCGTCCGACTTTTGCTTAGGTCATGATCTCGCGGTTCGTGGGTTCGAGCCCCGCGTCGGGCTCTGTGCTGACTGCCAGCTCAGGGCCTGGAGCCTGTTTCAGTCTGTGACTCCCTCTCTCTGACCCTCCCCTGCTCACGCTGCGTCTCTCTCTCCTAGAAATAAATAAAAACATTAAAAAAAAAAAAGTTACAAAATTTTATTGAAGACTGTTACCAAGGCTTTTGATTGCATTTTTGCAGTTGCTGTGAATGTGTGTGTAGTCTAGAGTGTTGCACTAGACCTTGGCAGCTAATTTGTAGAAAGTTTGGTACCCCTAATTTGGCAGGTATTTACATATATGTGTTATTTGTGATAAGGAAACCCCAATCTTATTTTTCTGTTCTAAAGATATTATAACATGGATAAAATCCTAACCTAAATTAAATTTTTAAAATTTTATGTTTACAGTTTAATGTAGCTCAGAAGTATATAATAAAGAAAAATGAGGGAGTAATGGAAATAGTCTTAAGGCTCTTTTTTAAAAGGCTCCTTAAAAACAATTACTGAATATGCCTCACTTATTGCAGCAAACATTCTTGTGAGAACAACTTGTTAAGAGGCATCCTCATCAAATGCTGCTTTAGCAAGAATTAATATACTCTGATTATGATGCTGCATTTACCTTTTCAAGAACTTTTCTGTTCCAAGCTAAGTATCTTAGTGATTTTTTAGTAGTGGTATATCTGAGATGTGTGTTAATTAACTGGTTTATTTCTATTTCAAATTATAAATTGGGATGAAAATAGCACAGTCAATTATTAGTGTAATAGAAAATGTGGCCATTTGGGTACTTTTTGTTTAGGGTTTATTTTTGCTGCTGTATTGGCAAAATACTGAAATGCAGAAGATGGACGTGTTCCAGAAGAGAAGATGGTAATTATAGGGAGGCATCTGCTGTGACAGTTATATTCTGTACGTGTTACATCTATTGCTGTCATAATTGCAAGCAAACAAGGTTGTAGAGACTTGTCTTCATTTTGTGATGGATGGCTCTTTCCTTTGCAGCCAAACAGGCAAAAAGTTAATGGCGAAGTGTCGAATGCTTATCCAGGAGAATCAAGAGCTTGGAAGGCAGCTGTCCCAGGGACGTATTGCACAACTTGAAGCAGAGTTGGCTTTACAGAAGAAATATAGTGAGGAGCTTAAAAGCAGTCAGGATGGTAAGGGGTTTTTTTGAAAAATTTGGTTAAATTTGCACTGGCTTTAAAAAACTTGCCAGGCATGAATATTATAAAATTAGATTCTGTATGTGCTAATCTCTGCCATTAGTTCTATAAAATTACAAATGAGACATTTCTAGTTGGGGCACCTGGTTGGCTCAGTTGGTGAAGTGTCTAACTCTTGTTTTCCACTCAGGTCATGATCTCAAGGTTCATGATTTCAAGTCCCACATTGGGCTCTGTGCTGACAATAAGAAGACTGCTTGGAATTCTCTCCCCCACTTGTTCTCTCTCTAAAATTAAAAAAGAAAAAAATTTCTAGTTGAGTAGTAGCAAAGCCATTTAATTTTAGTGGCTCCCCTCCTTAATTGTTTATTGTACAAATTTCATGAGAAGTTTTTGAGTTTGGAGGGGTGGAATTTGGTGAAACATAAGGCTTTACATAGACAAATTTATATTCAGTGTTTAAACGGGGGTTATTTCCATTTAATTTCTCTGTAAATGTAAATCTTGGGGGTATTTGGCTATTTCCAGTGGTCTAAAAATAAAAAATTGATTGTACCTGTTAAGGTCCTATTTAGTGAATAAGATGTAACTTTTGTTTTTTGGAAAGAGAAAGAATGAGCATGAGTGAGGGAGGGGCAGAGAGAGAGAATGAATCTAAAGCAGTTTCCATGCCCAGCATGAGTCCGTTTTGGGACTTGATCTCCTGACCGTGAGATCATGACCTGAGCCAAAATCAAGAGATAGACATTTAACCGACTGAGTCACCCAGGTGTCCCTAAAGATGTAGTATTTAAATTTGCTAAAGGTAAATCAAACTTAACTATCATTCTCTGTCTCTTCCCTGCCCCACTTTTGTTTTTTTGGCAAGTGTAGCTACATCTGGTCTGTTAATCTTCTCTTTGAGGAAGGATGAATAGTACCTAAAATATCTGACCAATGAAAATTAAATTGAGAATTGGTATATTTGACAGTTAATTCTGAAGATCAGTATTCAGTGTAATCTTTTAAAGTATCTTTTCATAGTGATAGTTGTTAGCTCTTACTGTTTGTAAACATAGTAAATAGGAGATTTTGTATAGTAGTGAAGGACTTTTCCCTCTCCCAAGTCTTTATAGGATTTAATCGACATGTGTATTTTAATCAGTTTTCGAGAGTTCTTTTCTCTACTTTTTTTTTTTTTTTTGGGATGTGGGATAGTCCTTTGTTAAAGCACAGGCCTCTTTGGAGTGTTAGAGTAGAGTACCCACTGTTCCCTAGGGCGGAACCTGCTGTGGAGCTGAAACAGACACTGGCGAGGAGGGTAAGGAGTTAAGGGGACCTGCCATGTGGGCCCAGAGGTGAACCGATGTGGAGTGGATTTTGTTGTCTGTAATGAGTTGTATATGGCTAGATGGTTTAAATCAGGTTTAACTTGGATGCTTTATAGATAAGTTAAGCAAGTCTCCTCCCTCCCACCCCAAATACAGTTATTCTTGAATGGCTATTTTTAAATTCCAAGGGAAATTTTAAAGTATTTTGAGTTTTAGACTTGTATTTGTTCACTTAAACATTTATTGACAGCCTCGCTTTGTGGCAGGTACTAAGCAATGTTTTAAAAATATGTTTTCAGAGATATTAAAGTAGGTTTGACTCTCCTTTGCACAGAACTGAATGACTTCATCATTCAACTTGACGAAGAAGTAGAGGGTATGCAGAGCACCATTCTAGTTCTTCAGCAACAGCTGAAAGAGACGCGTCAGCAGTTGGCTCAGTACCAACAACAGCAGTCTCAAGCTGCAGCCCCAAGTACCAGCAGGACTACCCCTTCTGAGCCTGGAGGACAGGCAGAGGCCACAGGTAAAGACTGCAGCCGGCTGGCCAACGGACCAAGTAATGGCAGTTCCTCCCGGCAGAGGACGTCTGGGTCTGGATTTCACAGGGAGGGGGACACAGCCGAAGATGACTTT